CACCGGTAATGGGGTATCCTTAATGCTTATTCTTCAGAAATGAGAATTCAACAGCAACAACAACAACAACAACCACAACAAGCATGTTAAGACTGTTCGCTCTTCCCCGCTCGCGTGCTATTCAACACGTGTATCCCAAGCCCTCGATACCTGCCCCCTTCGTCTTCGATCGTACCCCTTTGGGGGTAAAAAATTTTCTTACCTGCAACGTGTACATTTCGCGCACCCCATAAGGCAGCAGAGGAGAGGACGGACGGAAGGAAGATGGAGCACGCGAGAAAAAGCAGGAGAGGGGCGCTAGGAGAAGAAACCACGTGACATAACCAGACGGGCAAATCGGGCGGGTAGACCCTAGCGGGTGGGTCGGGAAGGCGGGTCCAACTGGCCAGTTCGAGCAGGCGGGCAGCTGAAGCGTACGTCCTGCATTCATCGTGGCAAAGTCTCAAGCGAGAGCGCGATTCCAATAAAAAACATGAGGAAATCCAGCCAACGAGAGCGTAACGCGTGAATGTCGAGGGCGCGGGGTCTGAATAATTGGCGATCGAGTCCCACGCGAGAGCGCGATTCCTGCATGCCTTGTGAGGACGTCCCGCGCGATATCGTCATTTCGGAATCAAGTGTGAAGAAACATCAGGCGGGAGCCGCTGTTTTTTTGAAAACCGGGCGCCAGGGGCGCAGTTTGGTGGCACCTCGCTATCCCTTCTTAGAAAAGGGTGCGAGCTCCAGGAAAAGTACTTCAATTGAAACATGTAACGGTTACTTGGAAACGGGGATCAACAACAAGTATTCAGACGTGAGAATTCAACAAGAACAACAACAGCAACAACAACAATACCAACAACAACAACCGCAACAACAACAACAATATGTTGAAGACTGTTTGCTATGATCTGCTCGTTCTTATCTGCTCTGCGCGAAAAACACGTTGCAAGTACAGAAGAAGTATACCCCCAAAAGGGTACGATCGAAGACGAAGAGGGTGGGTATCCAGGGTTCGGGATATACGCGTTGAGTGGCCCGCGAGCGGATAAGACCAAACACAATGAAACTGATTGCTGCTGTTGTTGTTGAATTCTCACCACTGAATAATAACTGTTGTTGATCACCCGTGCCCGGTAACTTCTACATAATAATAATTAGAATGATTCTCCGGGGGCTCGCACCCTTTTCTGTGCAACGGAGAATGAAGTGTCACCAACCTGTGCTATCGGGCCCCGGTGTACAACAACAACAACAACAACAACAACAGCAGCAAGAGTCATTTTTACCTAACAGCGAAGACTGATAGGTTTCTAATAGTCTCAAAAGAAAGCATCATGACTCCCCAGGGGGGTCTGGGCGGGTGCCGGACAGGGTGCCGCAGAAGTCGTTTTAAGCCAACAGTCACACACTTCGTGCTCTTCGACCTCCCAGAACTCCATTCCCGGGCCACATTCTGAATGCCCGGAGCCAACTGTAGGCCACTTCGTGCTCTTCGACTTCCCAGAACTCCATTCCCGGGCCACATTTTGAATGCCCGGAGCCAACTGTAGGCCACTTCGTGGTCTTCGAGTCCCCAGAACTCCATTCCCGGGCCACATTTTGAATGCCCGGAGCCAACTGTAGGCCACTTCGTGCTCTTCGAGTTCCCAGAACTCCATTCCCGGGCCACATTTTGAATGCCCGGAGCCAACTGTAGGCCACTTCGTGCTCTTCGAGTTCCCAGAACTCCATTCCCGGGCCACATTTTGAATGCCCGTAGCCAACTGTAGGCAACTTCGTGCTCTTCGACTTCCCAGAACTCCCATTCCTGGGCCACATTTTCAGCAGGGGCAAGAGCACGACGAGGAGGAGGACGAGCAAGACCAGGAGGACGAGGACGAGCAGGAGCAGGACGAGGAGCAGGAGGAGCAGGAGAAGAAGGACGAGCAGGAGGAGGAGGAGGACGAGCAGGAGGAGGAGGACGACCAGGAGGAGGAGGACGACCAGGAAGAGGAGGAGGAGGAGGAGGAGGAGGGGAGGGGGAGGACTACCAGGAGGAGGAGGAGGAGGAGGAGGAGGAGGAGGAGAGGAGGAGGAGGACGAGGAGGAGGAGGAGGAGGACGAGGAGGAGGAGGGGGGGGGAGAGCACCAGGAGGAGGAGAACGAGGACCACCAGGAGGAGGAGGAGGAGGAGGAGGAGGAGGAGGAGGAGGAGGAGGAGGAGAGAACACCAGGAGGAGGAGGACGAGCAAGACGAGGAGGACGAGAACGAGGCGACCAGGAAGAGGAGGAGGAGGAGGAGGAGGGGAGGGGGAGGACTACCAGGAGGAGGAGGAGGAGGAGGAGGAGGAGGAGGAGGAGGAGGAGGAGGACGAGGAGGAGGAGGAGGAGGAGGAGGAGGAGGAGGGGGGAGAGACCGAGGAGGAGGAGGAGGACGAGGAGGACGAGGAGGGGGGACGAGGAGGAGGAGGAGGAGGAGGAGGCTGAGGCTGAAGCAGACTGGCTGCTGAGGCTGAGGCTGAAGCAGGCTGATGCTGAGGCAGGCTGAGGCTGAGGCTGAGGCTGATGCAGGCTGAGGCTGAGGCAGGCTGAGGCTGAGGCCGAGGCTGAAGGCAGGCTGAGGCTGAAGCAGGCTGAGGCTGAGGCTGAGGCAGGCTGAGGCTGAGGCAGGCTGAGGCTGAGGCTGAGGCAGGCTGAGGCTGAGGCTGTGACTGCGACTGCCGTTGCCGCTGCGACTGTCATCGCGAATGCGACTACGACTGCGAGAACAGCAGATTTCTACAACTGGATTTTCATCTGAATCTTAAGGGGAATGCTTTCAGATATGCTTCTACACATCGCTGTTAGGTTGCTTTGCCGGGATAATACTCGCTTGCTCTCTGTTTCTAGATGCAGCATGCATCCATCATGATAGCTCCCCACTCATGGGGGATGTTCTGTTGCACGTGGGGGTCCGGTATTCCCTCTCCCTGATCTCCCGCCCGAGGGGGTCTTGACAACAACTCTTCCGATGCACCTAGACATCTCCGGCCCGGACGGCACATCGCCTTCGCAATCCCCCTGCCCGGGCCTTGCTTCTAGATATCACGACGCCTGAGTGGCCTAGGACCTCTGGGAGAGGCATCACATCCTCTGGGCAAGCCCCGTGGAGAGCCCCTAGAACCTCTGAAAGAAAAATCAGACCTCGGGCTCCTGAGTTTTCGACCCCTTCCCGGGGACCGCTTTGGCGTCGGCCACTTTCTGATGGCGCCGGGCTCGTCGTCGTCGTCGTCACCGCCGCCGCCGCCGTCGCCGCCGCTGCCACCACCACCGTCGTCTTCGTCGTCGTCGTCCTCCTCCTCCTCCTTTTCCTCCTCCTCCTTTTCCTCCTCCTCCTCCTCCTCGTCCTCCTCCTCCTCTTCTCCCTCCTCCCTGTGTTCCTGGAGTCCTCCCGAAAATGTCCCTGGGCCGAAGTGTTTCCAGGAGTTCCAGGAGGGCCCCGACGGCCCCCAGAGCACCACGACGACGACGACGACGACGACGACGACGACGACGACGACGACGACGGCGACGACGACGACGACGACGACGACGACGACGACGACGACGACGACGACGGAGGAGGGGGTCGCGAGCTCGAGGGCCCGCACACGAAGCAAGCTCGGGCCGTCGGAGGATCGGGTGGAGGCACACGTGCCGCGCCTGCGCCCGCGCGTGACTCGCCCCGGTGCCTTTGTCGTCGTCGTCGTCGTCGTCGTCGTCGTCGTCGTCGTCGTCGTCGTTGTCGCTTCTCGATGGCCCCAGAGCCCGAAGCGGCCCTCCAAGGACCAAAGATCTGGACAGAATGAACAGTTCTCGCTTTCGTGACGGCGGATCCCTGGGTTCCAGCTTCCTGGCAGGGCGGCTGGCCGAGTCGCGGCCAAGGCGGCGCTCCCGATGATGGCCAGGTGGCGCGCGCGCTGGCCGCCGATCGATCGCCGGCTGCCCCGGCGGGGCTGCCGATCGCCGCTCCCCGCCGCCGCCGCCGCCGCCGCCGCCGCCGCCGTCGTCGTCGTCGTCGTCGTCGTCGTCGCCGTCGTCGTCGTCGTCGTTGTCGCCGTGCTCTGGGGGCCGTCGGGAGCCTCCTGGAACTCCTGGAGACACCTAGGCCCAGGGACATGTTTTGGAGGGAGAGGAGGAAGGGGAGGAGGAGGAGGAGGAGGAGGAGGAGGAGGAGGAGGAGGAGGAGGAGGAGGAGAGGAGGAGGAGGAGGAGGAGGAGAAGAAGGAGGAGGAGGAAGAGGAGGAGAATGAGGAAGACGACGACGACGACGACGACGACGACGACGGCGACGGCGACGACGGCGATGACGACGACGGCGGCGGCGGCGGCGGCCACGACGGCGAACGACACCACGCCCCAGGACACGAGCGAGAGCGAGGTCGTGCGGAACAGGCCTCGGCGAGAGCGCGAAAGCGCATTCAGGATGTCCAACCAAAAAAAATGGTTGGTAATCAAAATTCAACAGGGACTGGGGAAGCCTCAGGGCCCCCTGGGAGTCTTGAAGAAAAACGGGCGGATCATCGTCATACGCTTCGTGGCCCCATAGGGAGCTCCACCGAAGGCCCCAGTGCCACCGTCCACAGGCGTCCTCCACACACATTCTGGCACACCCCTCACACGCCTAGTGGCCCCAGAGGGAGCTCCACCGAAGGCCCCAGTGCGACCGTCCACACGCGTCCGCCGCACCCATTTCGACACACCCCTCACACGCTTCGTGGCCCCACAGGGAGCGCCACCGAAGGCACCAGTGCCACCGTCCACACGCGTCCGCCGCACCCATTTCGGCACACCCCCAACAGGGCTCGTGGCCCCACAGGGAGCGCCACCGAAGGTATTCACAATTGCGGTGCGCGCAACTGCATATGGTTGGGTCCTCCGCCAGGCTGATTGACATGTTCCCCGCCCGCCCCCCCACCGGAAATGGAGGGCAAATCGGGGCCTTCGGGTTGGGTTGGGGTGGTTTGGTGGGCGCTGGTCCTCCGCTCCGCGTGGGGGGGGGGCGCTTTCGGCCGTCAGTCCTCCCAGAGCCGCCGCGTCCGCCTCGCCCGCGCCCGCACCCGCGCCCGCGCGGTGGAGCTCCACCGCCGCCTCCTCGCCGCCGCGCACCGCCGCGCCGCGCACGCGCAGTCGCCCGCGCGAGCCCCCGCCGCCCGCAGAAGTCCCGAGGCCGCTCTCCTGGAAGCGCTGCACCGCAAGGGCGGCCCCTTGCGCGCCAGAGTGCCCTCTGCTGCGCGGCTCCAGTGCGTTGCAACTTTTCCACGCCCAGCGTGACGCCAGGCTTCGCACAAATCGATCTGGCTCGAAGAAAGACGGCGTCCAGGGCTCGGGTCGTGATTGCTCGCGGTGTTGCATGTTCGCGACGTCGAACCTCAAGATTTAGCGGGAGGTCGCCCGCTGCAACTGTACGCAGACACCGGCCCTTGCCAGGCCCATCTTGGCCCAGGCGGGATCGGAGTGCACGTTCTCCTGGCTTGGCCAGGGAGGCCTGTCTACCGATCCTGGACCCAGGATAGGCCTGGGCAGAGTCATTGTATCTGTCGAAGTCTCGTCGCCCGAGTTGGGGTGTGGCAAAACTAAAGACGTGTGGTCGGTCCTCGCTGGCCTCCTCCGCGGCGTCGTCCGGCGGCAGAGGAGGCTGCGCTTGCCTGGCGAGCAGCTCCTGCGGAGCGGAGGCACTTGCCCGCAGCGGCTGCACAGCGAAAGCCGAGCGAAGTCATGTGCGCGCGGGCATGGCCCGCCCCTCAAACATCCAACGTCTTGGTCAGAGCAAGACGGAACGCTGTCTCGCGCTGTTCTGCATCCCTGAGCCGCTGCCTGGGCCCCAGGACCGTCGAAGACGAGTCGGGACGAGAAGCCGGCCCCGGAGAAGGTGTCGGGGCATCAGGGGCTGCGTCTATGGAACCACAACAGAACGTCGGATGCCAGCAGATTTGCAACGCTGGCGGCGCTCGGGGGCCGGGGGGAAGCAGCATCACTGCATGTTCTTCTGGCCCCTCTGGGCCCCCAGGTCTTGCCGAACTCGGCGCGCTTCTCCCGAAACGCGGAACGCCTTCGTCCCGGAGATGAGGGGGCTGGGTCCAAGTTTGCATCACCACCCCGTGGACGAGTCTGATCGTCAACACGCTCCCCCTTTGCTCTGATCGGCGGATTCCGAACCCTAGCCCCGCCGCCCATCGAGTTGCCTGACTCGTGGATCGGCGAGGCTCGGCTTCGGATCCCGCCGCCGATGAGAAGCGCCGCACCGCAAGAGCGGCCCCTCGCGCGCCAGAGTGCCCTCTGCTGCGCTTCTTCAGTGCTCTGAGATCCGGGCGTTACAGCTTTTCCACACCGGGCGTGATCGCCAGGCTGCGGGCCTCAGACCATCACAAATCGATCTGGCTCGAACAGTGCCGAAGAGAGACGGCGTCCAGGGCTCGGGTGGTGATTGCTCGCGGTGTTGCATGTTTCGCGATGTCGAACCTCAAGATTTAGCGGGAGGTCGCCCGCTGCAACTGTACACAGACACCGGCCCTTGCCAGGCCCATCTTGGCCCAGGCGGGATCGGAGTGCACGTTCTCCTGGCTTGGCCAGGGAAGCATTTCTACCGATCCTGGACCCAGGATAGGCCTGGGCAGAGTCATTGTATCTGTCAAAGTCTCGTCGCCCGAGTTGGGGTGTGGCAAAACTAAAGACGTGTGGTCGGTCCTCGCTGGCCTCCTCCGCGGCGTCGTCCCGCGGCAGAGGAGGCTGCGCTTGCCTGGCGAGCAGCTCCTGCGGAGCGGAGGCACTTGCCCGCAGCGGCTGCACAGCGAAAGCCGAGCGAAGTCATGTGCGCGCGGGCATGGCCCGCCCCTCAAACATCCAACGTCTTGGTCAGAGCAAGACGGAACGCTGTCTCGCACTGTTCTGCATCCCTGAGCCGCTGCCTGGGCCCCAGGACCGTCGAAGACGAGTCGGGACGAGAAGTTTTGGAGGTGTCGGGGCATCAGGGGCTGCGTCTATGGAACCACAACAGAACGTCGGATGCCAGCAGATTTGCAACGCTGGCGGCGCTCGGGGGCCGGGGGGAAGCAGCATCACTGCATGTTCTTCTGGCCCCTCTGGGCCCCCAGGTCTTGCCGAACTCGGCGCGCTTCTCCCGAAACGCGGAACGCCTTCGTCCCGGAGATGAGGGGGCTGGGTCCAAGTTTGCATCACCACCCCGTGGACGAGTCTGATCGTCAACACGCTCCCCCTTTGCTCTGATCGGCGGATTCCGAACCCTAGCCCCGCCGCCCATCGAGTTGCCTGACTCGTGGATCGGCGAGGCTCGGCTTCGGATCCCGCCGCCGATGAGAAGCGCCGCACCGCAAGAGCGGCCCCTCGCGCGCCAGAGTGCCCTCTGCTGCGCTTCTTCAGTGCTCTGAGATCCGGGCGTTACAGCTTTTCCACACCGGGCGTGATCGCCAGGCTGCGGGCCTCAGACCATCACAAATCGATCTGGCTCGAACAGTGCCGAAGAAAGACGGCGTCCAGGGCTCGGGTCGTGATTGCTCGCGGTGTTGCATGTTTCGCGATGTCGAACCTCAAGATTTAGCGGGAGGTCGCCCGCTGCAACTGTACACAGACACCGGCCCTTGCCAGGCCCATCTTGGCCCAGGCGGGATCGGAGTGCACGTTCTCCTGGCTTGGCCAGGGAGGCCTGTCTACCGATCCTGGACCCAGGATAGGCCTGGGCAGAGTCATTGTATCTGTCGAAGTCTCGTCGCCCGAGTTGGGGTGTGGCAAAACTAAAGACGTGTGGTCGGTCCTCGCTGGCCTCCTCCGCGGCGTCGTCCGGTGGCAGAGGAGGCTGCGCGCGCATGGCGAGCAGCTCCTGCGGAGCGGAGGCACTTGCCCGCAGCGGCTGCACAGCGAAAGCCGAGCGAAGTCATGTGCGCGCGGGCATGGCCCGCCCCTCAAACATCCAACGTCTTGGTCAGAGCCAGACGGAACGCTGTCTCGCACTGTTCTGCATCCCTGAGCCGCTGCCTGGGCCCCAGGACCGTCGAAGACGAGTCGGGGCGAGAAGCCGGCCCCAGAGAAGGTGTCGGGGCATCAGGGGCTGCGTCTATGGAACCACAACAGAACGTCGGATGCCAGCAGATTTGCGACGCTGGCGGCGCTCGGGGGCCGGGGGGAACAAGCATCACTGCATGTTCTTCTGGCCCCTCTGGGCCCCCAGGTCTTGCCGAACTCGGCGAGCTTCCCCCGAAACGCGGAACGCCTTCATCCAGGAGATGAGGGGGCTGGGTCCAAGTTTGCATCACCACCCCGTGGACGAGTCTGATCGTCAACACGCTCCCCCTTTGCTCTGAAACTTTATAGGAGCAAGGTGAACATCGCGACGCGGCAGCGCAGTCTTGCCCGTACACATCTGTGCACTTGTACTGAGGCATAAGATGCACACACGTGTAATTAGACTCCAGAGCCACGCATGCGCTCTGGTTCTAGCGCAGTCCAGGGTGCTTTCACGACACGTTGGACTGACGTTACGCTGCCTCGTGCGGGTGACCTTCTGCGCTCGCTGAGCGCAGCTTTCGGATCGGCTTACTCAATATCTTGCATTACCGCGTCCCCTTGAGTGTATTGTCCCTCCTTCCTCATCGCTATATCCTCTGGTCTCTCTTGCTCGTGCTGACCCGTTGCTCCTCAATCCTCTCGGACCTCCATCGTTCCTACCCTTCGTACTCCAGCTCCTGCTCCCACCCCTTTCATACGTCGCCCGTTCCCCTCACGCCCATTTTCTTCCCGAGGGCGTGAAGCGCATTCGCATTTACCTGCTGGCGATGCCAGTGTAAAGGATCATGCGCTCAACATACACAAAGTGAAGTCTATGACTTCCTCGAGTGTGACTGCCTCCTCTATGAAACATGATACGGGCGATCCAAAATATCGTCCAGCCACGCACATCCCTCCCCCTCCTTTCTCTCGACGCGCACTGTTAAGCGGTTGGCTGCTGTCTGCCACCTGGAACGTCTCTTCAGGCTTCTCTTGTGGCTCGCTCCCGGCTGTCTTGAGGTCACAGAAGCAGAGCTAAGAAGGGCAAGGACGGAGGGAAGGAGGAAGAGGGTGGAGGAGAGAGGGAGGACAGATGGACAGCAGGGAGGATGGACAGCAGGGAGGACAGATGGACAGTAGGGAGGACTGAGGATTGAGGGAGGATCGATAGAACAGAGGGAATCACGAGGAGGGACGGAGTGGACCTAGACGATCAGAATCCCAAGAGGAGTCCAGACGTGCGCTCCCTGTGGCACTTGGGCCCCTTGCAGTGGAGTCGGAAGTCATCTTGAACCCTATTGGCGCTTCTGGGAGGCTTTCCGTGAAGCTCGGCCACAGAAGTTGTAAAATTAAGATCGCTCAAGTCTTGGACTGGCCATTCCAGGTTTCCTGCTGCATTCGGCTTCGCTTAAGAAGGGTTCTTTGTGGGGTGGGGGGTATCTTGGAATCTGATCGTGGCCTCCTGAGCCCACCTTGGGGTCATACGTGTTGGAGTCTCTTGGGACCTCTTCCCTCTTGAGCTCTCTCGCGCCCTGCCTCAGGTTCTCGTGAAGCCAACTGGGGCCTTCTCTTGACGGGCACAAGCGGTCGTTGGTACGAGAACGGCGCCCATTCACCGTACAATGTCTGAGCTCCCTTCAGGCCCCGCTCCAAAACAGTACGGTGCATAGTCTTTTCGGCCCCGGTAGCCGAAAGACTATGCACCGTGCTATTCTCGGGGATGGACAGGACCCCCTGAAGCAAAACGTGGTTTAGTGAAAACGACCTCGGGCCCAAACCTGGCGGGCGCAAGCCTGGAAAATGACGGCCGCGGCACCCTCTCGAGAATCGAAAACGGACAATTCACTGATCGACGTGTCAGGGTGGGGGTTCTCTCCACCCGCGACATTCCTGGGTCCTAGATCGACGACGCCTAGAGAGACGCCAATCCGGTACGGTGCACACAAGTCGTCCGCGAACCCCCTTGGGCCGCCGTGATGGCACAGGCGCACCGGAGCGGGAGTGACCCCAGGACCTGCACGGAGCACGGGAGACACACCAGAGGACCAAGCATGGCACGAGCCTGGAGAGCCCCCATTCAAAAAGACATGGCAACACAGCCAAACTCACCGATAGTAGGGGAACGAACAATGACATAAACATAATAATTCGGAGGTCCGCGCGGACCACCGAGATTGCATGTTTATGGTATTCTTCGTTCCCCTAAATACAGCCAAACTCAACGAGAAGGATGGAGTCACGGGATGCGAGGACCTTGGGAAGCGCCGGCATGGAAAACCGCGCCAACCGCAGGGGCACTCTTGAGCCAGGGAGGCCAGAAACGTGCCAAGAGAAGTTAGAAAAGCGGAAAGGAAGATGCCCTTGCGAAAGGGGCCAGTCCTCAGCGCTGCTCTTGACTGTAACGCCGTTTGGTACCCCCATGCGGAAAAAAATGTTCATCAAGGTGGGGCGCGCGAATCGTTTTTATGTGCATACATGTTCTGTCTTCCAGACGTCGGCTGTGCGCACGCTCCTGGCTCTCGAGCCCGTTATGTCGCCTAGCCGCTGTAATTAGCAGCCACAAGCGCAAAACAAAACATTGTCCGGTGCATGCTCCTCGCCAAGCAAAAAGAGGGGGAAGATGAAAGGCCCGTGGACTCTCGGGGGCTACACTCGAGCGCAAGGGGTCAGTCATGGGCAGCCTTCGAACTGTACTGTGCTGGCGTGGGTGGATACTGAACACAAGCTGTGGCAGCTTGGAGTGTAGGTGTCTTTTGGGGATCTCCATGGAGGGCCTGGGGCCTGTCCTGGGGCTCACTACGGGTGCGTCTAGGGTGCTTCGGAGGGGAGGGCTCTCTTGGGAGCCTTCTGGAGGCTCCTGGGGGTCTCTGGGGGTGGTGAATGGACCCCTTCGGCCGTCTTGGCGCCTCTTGGGTTTGTCAAGCTCGACGCCTCAGTTTTCCCCGAACGCCGAAGCAATCAAAGCGCCGAATCCGCGCCCACCAACAGCCGACGCGACAACAGCGCGCCGACTGGGCAAAGAAGGAACCCCGCGCGAGGGTCGCCTGCGCGAGGGTTCGAGCCCCAAAGCAGTTTCTGACAGGAGGGCCGAGATATCGACACAGACCAGCTCCCGCGTCTGCGAAAGATGCGTGCAGCAAGCCGGACTTCGGCACACGTGAGTTCCGTGCCGGTTCTAGGATACTACTTGAACAATTGCGCGCTAGCTTCCACCTGTCTTGGAGCCCGGCGTATACGGTGAGGGCATTGGATAAGGAACCATTGAATAAGGAATCCAGGGCTTGAAGCTGGCGGGACTCCAATTGAGGAATGGCCATGGATATGACCGCCGCGCTCATCAGATAAGGAATCCTCCAGGGTCTGAAGCCTGCTGGGCACACTCCTTCACAAGCGCCCCCTCCGTGCCCGGATATCAGAGCACCGTCGGTTTCGAGCCACGTCCCTACGACAACCCCAAGGGCAGCTCCCGCCTCCCCCACACCATCCCTCGATCTGCGGAAGAGGGAGGTCGAGGATGGATGGACCGAGTACTAGCAAAGAGGGAGTGGACGCGGAGGAGGCAGGGTAGCAGAGAAGGCCAGACCCGAGGCAAGGGGCAGGAGACCAGCGAGGGACGAGGGAGGAAGGAGGAGGGACAGAAGGCGGCTGCTGGCGGAGAGGGACTGGGGAAGAACGCTGGAGGAGTTGAGGCGAGGATGCAAGAGAAGCACGGAGGAGGAGGAGGAGGAGGAGGAGGAGGAGGAGGAGGAGGAGGAGGAGGAGGAGGAGGAGGAGGAGGAGGAGAGTGAGAAAGGACCCCTCACGCGCAGATTGCCCGAGAGCTCTCCGAGACACTGAGGCCTCTGATATACTTTTTGGGATAACCTGGGAAGCCCACCAGCAGCCTGTCAGAAGCATCTTTGGGGGCCTCTTGAGAAGCCTTGTTTAGAGGCTTCGTGGGGGCCTCAGGGGGCCTCTTGGGAGCCGGCTGGGGGCCTCTCTAGGGCTCTCTTGGGTCAGCCTGGGCCCTCTTGGGGAGCGGTCTTGGCGGATGTGGCGCCGTCCCAGGGCCCTCCCGGAGGCCTCGGGCCATCTTCGGAGCGGTCTTCGGGGCCGTCTTCGGCCGTCTTGGACGCTGTCCAGACCGACCGAGCGAACACGCGAGAAATCTACGCTTCCCTGGATTCTCGCCTCACGGGGCCCTTGCAGGGGAGTCCCCTCGGAGCCGTCTCGGGGCAAGTTGGGGGCATCTGAGGCCGCTGTGAGGCCACCTTGGGCTGCTGGAGCTGTCTGGAATCCATCTGGGGATGTCCGGGAGCCTGACTCGCCCGTCCTGGACTCCGTGCATCTTATCGGGAGGTTCTGGGGTTGGCCCGAGACAGCTCAGGGGGGAGAGGAAACTTGGTGAACCCTCGGTGCCCCTGGCGGTCTCTGCCCTGGGGGCCCCGGGGCCGGGCTTCCAGTATAAGAGAGATACACACATCGAGTGGAGACGCCTAGCGCGCTACAAGCGTGCCAACAAACCAGCAACGGAACGACATGGCATCTCAGGTCGGGGGCATTGTGAACACGCTGGCCACCGGCACCTCGAAGACTGCGCTGAGCCGCTCGTCCCGCGAAGAGCTGCCTACGAAGGCCGTGAAACTACGGTCAATGCGGTGCCAGCCGTCCGAGCAGTCTGGTGGCGCCGACGTGGGGGGTGGCCGTCGTGGTGGCGGGCGCCAGAGTGACTAGGGCCGTCGTGTTGGCGCATCTTGCGCACTTGTAAGCAAGCGCAACGCTTGCTCTCGCCGATGCGGGAAAAGCAGAAGGCGGCATGACCACAAACTTTCTGGAGCCAGGCGCGGAGTTCTCGAATCTGCGCTGAACCCCGTGCGGCCGCCTCGGGCGCCGCCCCCCGCGCGCTCCGCGCGTCAGAGGGGGAGGGGGGCCCGCGCCGATTCGAGAAATCTGCGCGGGGCTCCGAAAAGGTTGTGTCTATGCCGTCCTTGGTTCCCCGAGATGTCGAACTCGTTGCGGGCACAGCCAGAGGTCTCACCGTGCTTGCTGTGAATTGTGGCCACACCAACACTCCTGCTCCCACTGCCGGCCAACAAAAACACTCAAAACCCTCACACTCGGCAGCACAGAAGTCGAAGTCGCCGATGCCCGCGAACATTTCAAACCTTGGATCATCCACATCATCCGCAAAGCAGCCCACGTATTCGGCGTCAGAAGGAGAGGCTGCCTCGTACACGCAATTCTCGTTGCCGCCGATGTCCGCTGCCTCGCAGGCACAACCTGAGGCCTCGCCGTGCTTGCCGCAACTGTTCCCGCAGAAGCACTATTGCTTCCCCTGCCTTCCGAAGAAGCTGAAGCCCTGGCACTGCTGCGCGCAGCAGTCGAAGCCGCCTGCTCTGGACGGCTTCCCCCAGGGCCGTAGGCGACCCGAGGAGGGGAGGGCGAGGAGGAGATGAGGGCGAGGAGGAGGAGGAGGAGGAGGAGGAGGAGGAGGAGGAAGAGGAGGAGGAGGAGGAGGAGGAGGAGGAGGAGGAGGAGAGAGGAGAGAGGAGAGAGGAGGAGGAGAGAGGAGGAGGACGGGTCGCCCAAGCCCTTCGGAGAAACCCTCCAGCCTGCTCCTCTCTGTACTGGCAAGTCCCTGTCCTCGGCGCGGTCAGCAAGGCAACCGAGGAAGCGAGGGCCGGCTGCGGGTGCGACGTCGTCGATCGGCCGGGGCCCCCGCTGCGCGGCGGGCTGCCGTCGCCACGGCCTGCGGGGCACTCGAGGCAGTGGAAGACAGCGATGGGCGACTGGCAGGCGTCGCCACGCCGCAGCCAGCACACTCCTGAGGAACCTCGGCTCTGATCTGCTGCGTGGCCTGATCTGGCGGCAGCCCACCGCCGTCCGGACCCGCCAGCACGTCCGTCCGCGAGCCGCAGCTGCAGCAGCCCTGTCGCCGCAGCACGCCCGCTGGTCGCAGCAAGGCCTGTCCTCGCAGTCCTACCGGATGGACAAAGTTCCGCGCGGAGAGCCGAAGGTGACAACCTCGCTCTGGCCAGACTCCAGCGACGAAGCTCGTGTGAAGCAACGCAGGACTCGGCGGGGCTCGCCTGAGCAAGCGGGGGACTGGAGGTAGAGCTACACCGGCTCGCCATAGGGAAAGGAACAACGGCGCAAACCCAAACTTTCGGCGCTCCGCGCAGACTTCTTGTATCCGCGCTGGACCCCCATCCCTGGCGCGCGGAGCGCGCCAGGGGCGGCGCCGGAGGCGGCGCCAGGGGGGACCCGTCGCGGATCCGAGAGATCCGTGCAGAGTGCCAAAAGTTGATGTTTGAGCCCTTCACATGTCCTGTGGCGGGGCAATGCCAAAAGGGGTTCACCACTGTGTGGGGGGGCCGCCACGTCCTCGAGGGAGACCGAATTCCTCGAGAAGGTGGCCCCAAAAAGAACTGCAAAGCCTTCCGCAACGACCTCCGACGTCCACCAACCTCCTCGAGTTTCGGTTGTGGAAGCTCGATGTCAGGAGGAGCTGCACAAATTTTCTAGTGGGCACCCCTAGTGATCACCTCTAGTGGTCCCCTCGATTTCGATTTCCCCTAGTGGTTACCCCCCTTGGCACTGCTCGATATGTTCTGGACGCGCACCTGCATGATTACTGCACTGTCTCCAATGGCCTGCAAGGCAGGCTGGGCCACCCATGTGTACAGGAAGGTGGCGTAGCTGAGGCCAGGACCGACCCCTACTAGCCCTTTCTGAGCGTAGGTGCTTTGGCAACTTAGTCCTCCCACAACCTGCTCTGCCGCGTCAGCTAAATTATCGCCTCTCCCACTGCCTCGTCTCCCCGGGTCCGAACGGGCCAGGTCAAATGGGGGTTCTTGCGTTTGAGATGGACCTAGAAGGCTCCAAGATTGCCCCACAAGGCGACCTCCAAGGTCGCAAACGATAGCCCATGCCGTTTCAATAGAGCTTCCAATATTATGCCTCCAAGCGGAGCCGTGACCGTCCCCAGACGACTCCAAGTGGCAACGGAGCCTTCCGAGGACCTCCACGAGAAGCCCACCATCGCACAAAACCAACGGTTAGGTCGGCCATGTCCCCCTACAGGCCGATGTTCGATGATTTTTTTTGTGAAAAATGCAAAAGCATGACAAACAAGTGAAACAAATACTAGAAAAATCGTCCCCATATTATTTTGTACATAATTGTTGCAGATTCCTCCTGTAGAGGGACAGGCCCGATTTAAATCAACTGACAAAACACACTGACTGTTGCCTTTTCGCTTCCGGTCGGCTTCGGAAGCCCCAAGGTTGCCTCAAGACGGCCCAAGAGAGCCCCAAGGGAAGCCCCAAGAGGAGCCCAAGAGGGGCTCAAGGTGGCCCCAAGAGCGCCCCAAAACACCCCAAGAGCGCTGCAAGAAGGCTCCAAGCGGCAACTTCTGGCCCCCTGAGAGGGGGGGCGCAATCAAGACCCCGCCCCCCTTGTTTGATTGATGACCCCAAGATGGTCCCCAAGAGGCCCCTCGAGGCCACTGAGAGCGCCCCAAAAGAACCCCAAGGACCCCAAAAGAGCCCCAAGAGAGCGCCACAGGCTTTCAAAATGCAGAAGGGCCCCAAGATGGCTCGAAGAGGCTCCCGAGGTATTTGATTTTGCCATTGGTGCCCTCACTGCTAGACTACGTGCTTATCCACACCACTCCCCCAGACAACTCCCCTGGGCATCGTTTCTGGATGCGCTGGTGGGGATACGTTTTTTGGTACGCGGGCGCGCGAAACGGATCGAACGCCATGCGAGCAGGGGCAGGCTGTGCCACCGGCTGGTGGGGATACTTTTTTTGGTCGGCGGCTCCGAGGCGGCGGACAGGGAGCGGTAGGCGTCGTCTGGGCCAGCAGGCGAAGCTAATTAGCTACAACAGGCAAGGGGCTGGTGGGGATACGCGAAGCGTCAGTCATTCGAATGCAGCATCCTTGCCGATCAAATTGTGCCAGCCAAGAAACAAGCCGTCGTCTAAGAAGCAAGTCTGATCCCCACAGGCGGACACGCCATCTGACTCCTTCACAGGAAACATCACGGGCAACTTCGCTGATGGATTCATAACTCCGAAGAGTACGTCGGCGAAGGCATTGCCAGTTTCCTGTCTGCCCACAAACAAGCTCAAAACAACTGCAGCGTATTCCCTGAAGTTCGTCAAGATCGAGCCGGTGCTCGTCGTGAGAACCTCCAGCGGGACCTGCGTCTCGTTGGCGCTCCTGGAGGCGAGCTCCATCAAGAACTCGTGCTGGTTGAGCTTCAGAGACACCCTGTCGTTATCCTCGCCCGATATCCCACCGCCACACGCGATTACGGAGTCAGGCTGGGAACGAGGGATGGCCATCCACGGATTCTGTGAAGGAGCCGCCGAGCCGCGCCCCCTGGGCGTCGAGCTTCGAGGCCAAACCTTCGCGGATTGAGGCAGTCCTTGGCGAAAACACGCGGCCCGAGCCACCAACAACACAATAGTCACTCGGGCTCCAGAACATGTTCTCTGGGCTTGCCTCCTGCTGAAGGTCGCAAGCATGACCAAGCAAAACTACTCGGGAGACATCACGAAGCGGAAGAAGGCAGCCGTCGTTCTTCAATAGGACTAGAGATGCCCCCGTGAACTCACGAGCTAGCTCGACCTTCTCTTCTGTTGTTACATCGATGTGAAGCGTTGAATTGCAAGTGCTGTCCAAACCTGGGGGGCATATTTGCCAGTTCCAAGCTTGCGCGCTAATCATTCCAAGAAGGATTCGTCGGAACCGTTCGTTCACCCTGTCCTCGCCAGAGCTCTGGAGATCGTCCATGTCAGGAAAAGGCGAGTTCCCAGATGGATTGCTTCCTGGCATGACCTGACACACTCCGCTGAAAGTCCCTTTGACATGTTCTTCACCGCCCACCAGTCAGACATAACCCAGCCAGTGAAATCCATTCGATCTTTGAGGTCGCCTTGCAACAGCCAATTGTTTTCACAAGAGTGGTCTCCGTTCACCCCGGTGTAGGAGCACATCACAGAGGCCAAGCAAGCCTCGACGCCCGCCTGAAAGGCAGGGTAGTGCACCTCCCAACGGACGCGCTCAGGAGCGACGTTGTTGTAGGTGCCGCGGTTCGTCTCCTGGGTGCTCATGACAAAAAAGCTTTGCGACGCAAGCTATGCCCTCGCCCTGCATGCCGCCCACGTATGCCTTCGAATCCGCGGCGCCGAGGAAATGGTCCTCACCGATGATGCTCTCCCTGTTCCGACCACCCCGCATCACGCGCGCGATGTCAACGCCCGGTCCGAGGACCACGTGGACACCCCGGGGCCCGGAACTCGGCGCCAATCGCCCCCACGCGCATCCCTGCCCAGGAGCGACTGGTCCCGCGCGGCGGCCATGCTCAGACCAGATGGCCACGAGGGCACGGTGCCAACGAACTCGGGCTCGAAGGTCCGAAACCCCTGGCCGGCGCCCTGCATGTTCGTGGAGGGGATGCTCAGCCTTGGCACACCGACAGCGGTGCCGGCATAGAAGCCGTCCCTCGGCTCCCACACGTTCCAGCCCAAACCCAGGCCGATCATGAGCTGGGACTTCTCTTCTCAGCTCGTGTCCTCTGCCGGGATCTCGGCGGCAGCGGTCGGATCTGGGCCGTAGGCCTTGCACCACACGTCACCCTCTCTGCTCTGCACCGCCTCAGCAGCACCTGCACCAAGGCCATTACGTCTGGTGTGCTCGGCTGCGGCAGTCTGAAGCAAGCGGGCGTCGTCATCGGTGTCGCGGGTATCCGCTGCAAGGGTGAACGAGAAATTGCCGTGTTCGGCGGGACCTCGCCAGCAGCCAGTGGATGTCTCCAAGGCCCAGGTCGCTCCCAGTCGCAAGGCAAGTAAGAGGAGGTTCAGCATCGACATGCCGGGCAATTCGGCCAAGTCCCACACTTGAATCAGAATGGCTACGAGTGCCAATTGGGCCTCATTGGGGGCTCTCATTTTTGCTTCCTCGAGATACACCGCCTCGGCCTCTCTCCAACGCAACGTGAAGGATCGGTCAAGTGCGAAGCCCGAGCTAGATATGACCACTCGTGAAATATTGAACCGTAAGATGAGACGGAGTGCAAGAAACAGGGACGTACACATGGACCTAACCTTGGTGCGTTGCGAGCTCGCCGAAAGGATGTTCAAAGATCGGAGATCAGTTGTGTATCGTCACCTGGGCATCGTCCGAAGACCTCGCACTGTTGACTAGGCTAAAAGCCGTTCGCCCAAGTCGGACGGTTGAAAGTGCGCGGAAGCCTTCAAATCCATCCCATGCCACCCCAAACCAGTCCCTCCCTCACGCATTGGCGAACGTTAGCCAATCGCGAACCCAAATGTCAGAACTGACGAGCCGATCGAGGCGGCGCCAGAACTACAACAACAAAAATAATAATCGAAACGTCGCGAGCGATCGCGGTGCGGAGCCCACTGCACCGTTCGCGACCACCGCACGTTCAGTGAAGCCTAACGGGGCTAGATGTAAGCATACAACTGTTTGACAGCATGGTCAAACCCTTCAAACGTTGATGACATTGTCCGTGCTCACGACGCATACAGCACAGTCGCAGCAAACCGCCATCGGCAGAAGATATACCTCCTGCATCGCCGCCGCCCCCCCCGTCACGCCTCTCGTCCCCGCGTCTCGAGTGCCCCCTCGCACCAACCGAACGCGAGACGCGCTGCTTGCGGTAAGCCGCCGACCAGCGCTCGCGGGCCTCACGGGGACGCCACGCCAAACAGCCCGGGAAGCCCCTCGTGCGTGCCGGCCCTCGCAGTAACGTGCGGGCCCTGCTCAGCGCCCAGGGTTGCCGCCCAGGCCAGCGCCCTCCTCGGGCCGCCCGGGCCCCCGCGCCGCTGCCGCGCCGGGACCGGCAGCCCGCAGGGCGGGGGCGCCTATAGGCCCAGGGGGCCCCCCGCGGCCGCCTCCGGCGGCGCGGCCTCGCGCGGCGTCGGCTCCGCGAGGGAGGCCCCGCAGGCCGCGCCCTCGCGCGGCCCCGCGGCGCCGGAGGCGCCGGGAGCTCTGCGGCGGCGGCGGGCTCCAGCGCGCGGGGCGCCGCGAGCACGGCGCTCTGCGCGGTCGGCTCGCGGACGTCCACGGGCCACCGGGGCTCAGCTCCACGACACCGTGCGCGCGCCTGCACGCCGCCATCCTCGCAGGACCCCCGGCGCCCGTGGGGTCAGGTCGGGCATGTCCCCCTACAGGTGGATGCTGGAGGGAAAAATCTGAAGTAGGCGAAGCATATCCAGCAATTTGCAGCAAGTCGTCCCAAGACTATTTCCTACTATTTTTGAGTTTTCCTCCTGTAGAGGGACATGCCCGACTTAAACGCACGGGTAGCACAGGCGGGTATTGTCAAGGTCTGGCAGGGGGCTGAGCTCGTCGACGCTGTGGGCGCACATGCAGAGCTCACCCCCTTGCTGCCCCTGTGGTGAATTTGGACACCCGAAATGGGCACGGAAAACATGGGCACATTGCCCAGCAACAAATGTTTCCAAAACCGACAGCGGCCGCTGTTGGGCAGGCGGCTTTCCGTCTTCAAAGAATTGCGTCCGCGACGGCGCGAACAGCGAGTCCTGTTCAAAATGAACAGGAACTGCTGCCTTTCCGTATCCATTTCGATCGTCTCGAGGCGAAACCTGGCACAGCTTCGTCTCCCGGAGCGAGTCCGTTGGCCCCCTCGCCGCCGCCGTGAGCTGCAGGGCCTCCAGAGCAACGGCGTCCTGGCAGACGGAGGACATGCCATGCGCCTGCAGCGCTTCTCGAGCGCAGCTTATCATGTGCCGCCCGTCGTGTGCTGAGCGGTCGGGGGCGCTATGAGAGCTGTTATGGCAACTTGAGCCAAAATGGCTACGGAGCCAGAACGGCTACGAAGGCTCTTTGGGGGCTCTCTTGGTTCGTCTTGGCGCTGTCTTGGGCCGTCTTACGGGCACTCTTGGCCTCCTCAGGGGCTCTCTTGGGCTGTCTTGGGATCCTATTGGCGCGTTCTGGGGCCGTCTTTAGCCTTTTTCAGGCAGTACGGCCCGTCTGGAGGCTCCCTGAAGCGATCCTGACAGCCATCTGAGGGAGAAAAGCCTGATAACCAGAGTCTTCTCAATGAATTGGAAGGGTCCCAGGCTTCTCTAGGGACCTCTTGGATCGTCTCTTGAGGTATCTTATGGTCTCTCAGGGCCGTCCTGGAATCATCTGCGACCGTCTTGGGCCACCCATGGCCGTCTTGTCAGCTCGTGAGTGACTTCCTGAACCGTGTCAGAATCTTCGCATGGGAGCCTCGCGACGAGAAGCTGAATGGCAGAGTGCCCTTGGAAAGAATATCCGATTCCTGAGGCTGAGGCCGTCCAACCTTTGGCATACAGGTAATGGACGTGCCGCCTGATGACTGCCACCTACTCCGCTTTGCAACCAGGACTCGATCAAACCCGGTCTTCTGAAAAGCATCCCAACCTTCGCAGACCTGCCGACCTCTCCCATCCATCGCCTGGCGGACCCTGGGTTCGGCAGGTTCGTGTCGTGACGACTTCGGCGTTGATTTGTGACACAACGTGGAACGATCGTCGGCTGTCCGATGACGCGGATTCTTTCATATCGTCCGATTTTGGATAACTTGCAACCCTGAACGCCCGCCGCGGGGTCCCCGTCGCGTCGACAAGGCGCAGCAGCCAGATGCTCTGCGATAACTTGCCGCCAAGACGGCCGCATTGCGAAGCGAGGATGTATCCAGATCCACCGCCTGGGGAACCCATGTCCTGGACCTTGGGGAGCGGTGGATGTTGAGTTACTTGGGCATCAGAGGGTTCGGATCTATCCATGCCAACCGCCTGCCGAGGTCCCCGAAGGTCTACGCATCCTCCAGTCGGTGCTCGTGGATAACCCCGCGCCTCGGAGGCACTGCCCGGCTTCCACGGCCCGCGGCATCCTGCACCGCGGCCTGCGCCCTCTCCATCTCCTCCTTCTTCTCCGCCGCGAGCCTCTGCTCCTTCTTGGCCTGCTCGAGCTCCCTGCGATGCCTCTCGGGGGGCGACGGGCTCGCGACGCAGCTCCCGCGGCCGACTCCCGGCGCCTCCCCGGCGCCAGCGAGTGCGTCGAGAGAAGCGCGCCAGGCCGGCAGGGCCGAAGCCGGCTGCACACGGCAGCTGTCGCACCGCTCCTCCTCCTCCTCCTCCTCCTCCTCCTCCTCCTCCTCTTCCTCCTCCTCCTCCTCGCCCTCCCCCTCCTCCTCCTCCTCCTCCTCCTCCTCATCCTCCTCCTCCACCTCCTTCTCCTCCTCCTCCTCCTTCTCCTCCTCCCCCTCCTCGTCTTCCCCTTCCTCCTCCTCCTCCACCTTGTCTTCTTCTTCCTCCTCCGCTGTTTTCCGCTGTTTGCCGCGCCATGAAGGTCTGTGCCTTGCAGCGCCACTTCCTCCTCCTCCTCCTCCTCCTCCTCCTCCTCCTCATCCTCCTCCGCCTCCTCCCCTTTCCCGATATTCCGACGAGGGATCCTCTGGCGGCCGATCGGGGCGGTTCTGGCACGGCCCCTCGGGGCGCTCTTGGCGAGGCGCAATTGCTGGCGGGGGGCAGAAAGGTACCTATCGGTTCGAAGAAGTAGACAGAAACATGAAGTAGGAAGGCGTTGAAAATAGATTGGGTGTCCGCCCGACCCCTGAAGAAGAGGGAGAAGGTGAAGCCTCTCGATCATTGAAGTAGGAAGGCGCCTGACGTAGATTGGAACCTGGCAATCCCCAACCGACTACCTTCAACCACCGATGGGCACTCATACCGCCACTCCCCGGGATCTCCCTCGGGGTGCGCTCAGAATCCAACCGTGGCCACGAGAGCTCGCCAAGACGAGCGGCAGCATCGGAACCGTTTCCTCCTCCGAGCTGGAGAGCAGCCCAGGGCTGGAGAACCGCCGAGAGCCGACGAAACCGCGCGAAAACGTCAAGCCCCCCCCATCGTCCCGTCCGAGCCTCTTGGCCTGCGCGATCTCCTTGCGGCGCTGCTCTTCGGCCCGTTCCCTCTCCTCGGTGGCTACGGCAACGGCTCAGCTGCCCCGATGCGCAACACGCGACGCGCAGCGGATTGACACGGAGCTCAACACGTGGACTGAAAGCGTAGGTCTGACGCGATACGTTCGCCAAAACGTGAGCCAATACGCTGAGCCAACACGCAACGTACAGTGGAGGCCCGACCACAAGAAAACTTCCACAAGAAGCCCAACCCTGAGACATCATGACGTCAATTGGTTTTGGTGTGGGAACGACGCGCTCTCCATCGCAAAATCATCGAAGCCCAACAAACCCGGGGCACCCTGGAGGCAAGCAGGGTGCTTCTTGCCACGAGCTTCCACTGCACGATCGCCAACACGTGGGGCCAATACGCTTAGCCAACACGCAACGTACTGACACAGACGTCGTCAGCACGGCACGTGCTGCCCTTTCAAGACGGGCGTATCCACCGGTCGGAAATAGGAGGTGGAAGCACGAAGTAAGAAAGGCGTTGGAAGTAAATTGGGTGTCCGCCCGCTCCCTTGAAGGACGGAAAAGGTGAAGCCACTCGATCATTGAAGTAGGAAGGCGCTTGAAGTAGATTGGAATATGGAAATCCAAAAATACCTATGTTCAACGACCGATGGTAGCCAACACGCAACGTACTGACACGGACGTCTTCAGCACGGCACTTGCTGCAGTTGCAAGACGGGCGCATCGAGGCAGCTCGAGAGCAACAGTGGCGGAGACCGCCCAGAGGGGAAATGCAACACGTGCGCGCTGGCCTGGGCTCTCGAATGTGTCGGTGCTGGTGCGGAAGGTTGAGGGCAGGGAACGTGAAGGCTCGGGGACCCCGGTAGAGGCCTCCCAGATGGGATCGGAGCAGCTGGGGTCGGAGGATCGCGCCGCATCGCCGATACATCGGCGATGCATCGGCGATGCATCGGTGATGCACTGGCGATGCATCGTCGACGTTGGCGATGCATCGGCGACGTCGACGTGGAGCAAATCGGGCTCAACATCGCGCCGCACCTGCGATGCATCGGCGATGCGGCGCGATCCTCCGACCCCATCTGCTCGGACCCCATCTAGGAGGGCTAGAAAAGGGCCCCGAGTCAGAAGGCCATCCTGCCCCCGGGGGATCCTGGGGCCCAGAAAGGCCCCCAGAGCAGCCCAAGGGGCCCCCAAGACGGTCCAAGAGACCCCCGAATCGCCAAACAGCCGGTCCGAGACGCTAGAGGTGGCCTTCTGACGGCCCAAGCGGCTTCCAAGACGCTCGAAGAGGCCTCCAAGACCACACCGAGAGGGCCCCATCTGGGAGGCCTAGACCGAGAGATGCCCCAGACCTGGCCCGAATGGACGCGCTCTCCCCCCCAGCAACGCCGACCGCAGCATCTCGACGCGATACGCTCTGGGCAGGAGTCCCACGGGCCTGGGGCGTGAGCGGCGTACGGAGGCTCCTCGTCCTCGCGGCCACGAGCGGCTCGCTAACCCGGGTCAGCCGGAGGGGGTCTTCGCAGGATCCTGCACGATCTGGTGCCCTGGCTGACCCCCGTTTGCACTGACCCCCGTCTCTTCCGAGTCCATCTTCCCTCTTCCCTTCCGGGGAGGAGCTTGCCCCTCCCCCTGTCCCCTCCCCCTGGACCTGGAGGCTGGGGTTCGCGAGGGGTGGGAGCGTCCGAGATGGCCTCGGCACGGCCCCTCGTTTTGATCGATCTCCTCCAAGGTGGCCCCGAGATGGCCCCCGAGGCCCCCAAGGTGCCCCAAGACGGCCCCAAGAGGTGCCCAGGAGGCCCTAAGAGACCCCCAAGAGACCCCCAACAAGAGGCCCCCAGGATGCCCCCCAAGAAGCTCCCCAGGGACTCCCAAGAGTCCCCAAGAGGTCGCCCAGAGGCATCCAAGATACCCCAAGAGGCCCCCAGGACTGCCAAGAGACCCCAAGACGCCACACAGGAGGACTGCAAGAAGCCCTCGAAAACATCCGAAGCGACTCTGAGAGGCACCCAATGGCCCACGAGACCTCTGGCCTTTCTGCTCGCCCTGCTCCTCATCCTCCGCCTCCTCCTCCTCCTTTTCCTCATCCTCTTCATCATCCGCCGTTTCCTCCACCTTCCTCCTCCTGCTCCTCCCTCCTCCTCCTCCTCCTCCTCCTCCTCCTCCTCCTCCTCTTCCTCCTCCTCCTCCTCCTCCTCCTCCTCCTGCTCCTCCTCCAATTCCTCCTCCATCCTCCCCCTCTTGGGGTATGGCGTCTTACCCAGCCTTTTGTTCTACTGCATGCTCGTCCACATCCCTGATCAAGGTAGCTCGTCTGGGCATCGTTTCTGGATGGTGGGGTTACGAGAAGCGTCCGGAAGTTCTTCCTGCCGGCGCCCACATGTCTCTGGAGGCTCCGATCGCCCACGTCTTCGACGACGCTGTCCGGCGAATGCATGCAACGCCTGCCACGGGACTATCAACCCCGTGGTTCGGTTGGGCCGGCGAGCTCGCGCGCAGGTTGAGGCTACCTCGTTTGGAAGCTTGCCAGGAGGTTGAGCTCCAAGATGCGTCCGCAGAGGCCTCTAGGAGCATCGGAAAAGGCCTCTCTGAAATGAATGTTCCCGGAGAGCTCTCCAGGAACTTCGGAATGGCGTGAAAGTCGGTGACATGAACCATTTCTGGGGGAAACAAAGATGTACCGAAACCGCTAATTACTCGTCCAGGGACCTCTCCCGGGGCGCACTCTGACCAGAACTCCGAAGATGATCCAGCCGTTGTGACGAGAACTCTCCAGGACGTGCAGCGGTATGGGCATTTTCTCCTCTAACAGCGTCTCACTAGAGGGTTCGAGCAGTAGTGTAAAAAAGGACAAGAGAAGGGCCACACAGAAGGGATGGAAGACTCGACACTGCCAGGTCCTGAAGCGGCCCGGCAGCTGTTTCGCCCGAGACCTCCTCACCAGTTCTTGAGGAATCCCTTGCAATCAAATGCCCTCGGGTGCACATGGCCCTGTTCTCACCCCGTGTCCCCTGTAGACGACCCCCTAACTACTCCCCGCCCCGCCTCTTCACCTTTGCTGCTATTAGGGTGCTCTGCTGGTGTGATCCCCCGTCGGACTTCTTGGACCAGACAAAAGACGACAGCACCCCACCTACGGCCCCAGGGGGCCTTGGCGTATACCCAGAAATCTGGCGTGGGCTTCTGCGCTGTGTGCGCTGCGGCCCCCGAGGGGCCGCGGCGCAACATGGAGGGGCGCAGGTGGGGTGGCGTCGTTTGTTTGTTGGTCGCCTTCTGCCTCCACTTTCGACGCCCGACATTGATACGGAAAGCATGGGCACAGTGCCGGACAACACATGTTGTCCCAAACCAACAGCGGCCGCTGTTGGGCGGACGGCCTTCTCGAATGGAAACAGGCCGCGGCGGCGCGGACAGCGAGTCCTGTTCAAAATGAGCAGGAACTGCTGTTGGGCATCGTACCCACTCTTTCCGTACCAGTTTCGGCCGTCCCGATCCACCGCTCTCCTCCCGCGCCAGCTCGGCCCTCGCCAACTCCGCGCGGCTGTGCACCGCGGCGTTGTCCGAGCGCACCGCCTCCAGCTCCGCGAGCAGCGCTGCCACGCGGGCCTCGGCCGACCGCGCCCGGTCCTCGCGGGGGCGGACGATCGACGAGGCTTCTACGCCGGCTGTGCCCGTGGTCGGCTTCGCCTGTGGGTCGGCTTCGCCCCGGTCGGCCTCGCCTCCGGGCGACGACGGCCGACCGCCCCAGAGATCCGACGCATTGAAAAAAGCAGATCAAGACGGGGGTGTTTGGCAGTTTGCGGCCTGCGGCCCTCGCCAGGCCCCCGGACCGTCAAAGAACGGCTCAGGATGAAAAGCCGGTCCTGGGGAATGGGTCGAGACTCCTGGGGATCCCGTCTTCAAAAAATCACGACATCGGATCTCGAATATCTGAGGCGGGCGAACCCGACCCAAGGGAAACCTGGCCGGGGCGGGACCGACAGGCGCGAAGCAGGCCCGGGCGAAGCGGATCCGGGCGAAGCCGACGGGTGCCGACGAGAAGGGGGGCCTGCAGACTCCCGACGGCATGATTTTTTCATAGTGTCGACCCTGGAGGTCTCGACCCATTCCCCGGGACCGGTCTTTCATCCTGGCTCGTTTTGTTGACGGTCCCGAGGCCCGGCACGGGCCCCCACAGAGGCCGAAGAGAGCAGAAACACCTCCGGCAATGATTTTTTCATGGCCCGAGGGGGTCTGGGGAGGGGGGGGGGCAAAGGAGCGGCGGGGTTTCGCTCGGAGGGCCGGGTGGAGAGGCGGCGGCTCTCCAGGGCGTTCTTCGCCCTCCTTGCAAGGCCTCCCAGGCGCTGCTCCTCGCCACGGCCAGATCCACGCTGGAGTGCGTCGGCTGCACGCAAGAGCGACCCTGTGCAAGAGTGACCTGTGGTCCCAGACCCCCTCGAGGAATGAAAAAATCACGACTGGAGGTTTTTCGCTGTTTTCGGACTCTGGGGGCCCCTACCGGGCCTTTGGAGCGTCAAAAAACGACTCAGGATGTAAAGCCGGTCATGGGGAAAGGGTCGGGACCTCTCGGGGTCGAAAAATCATTACGTCGGGGGTCTGGGGTACGCGGCCTTGTGAGGGCCCGTGGGGGACCAACCCCATCCGCGCAAGACGCTACTATCACGTCGCGCTGGGCCCGCACCACAGGTCACTCTGGCAAAGGGTCAAGTATACCCAGACGTCCGGCTTCTCCAATTTTTCCGATGCGTGGGCCCCGGAAGTACTGACCACTTCCCCAGGGCCGGTTTTTCGCCCCTAATAATTTGTTGTACGCTCCCGAGGCCCGGCGAGGGCCCCCAGGAGGCTGAAAAAAAAACCAAACCGCCTGCTCCAGATTTTGTTGGAGCGTCGGATCTCTGGGCATGTGTAGCTGAAAACGGCTCAGGACGGAAGCCGGGAGTCGAAAAGGGGATCTACTACAGAACCGATTTACCCCAGAACTGATTTCCCGTCATATCCACGGAACGTACCTGCAATGCTCCGTAGATCTACTAACTGTTCTTCGTATTTGTTCCCAGGGGCTCGACGAGAACAACAAATCCTGGGGTTCATCAATTCTGTACCCATCGTTCATTTCTAATCGTGCTCATTTCTACTTATGCGCGTTTCTAGGTGTTCCTGGCCCCCCAGATGGCCAGGAAGAGGCCCAGGGCAGCACAATTAGAAATGAGAGGATCTTGGCCCCCAAAAATCAAGGAACCTTCGAAGAATCAGACATCAGCCCTGTGTCGTCGATCCCCTGGTTCGAGGTCTGGGGCCCAGGGGGCAAAAGCTCGGAGCGGACGCGTGGGCCTGGCGCGAGAACCGCCGTGGTCTCCCCGCCCGCCTCCGACGCAGGGGAGCGGCCCCCGGGTCGAGCGGAGGGGGGGGCGGGCGGTGAAGGAGAGGCCTGGCGAATCAGCTCACGTGCATGGGCCTCGAAACCCAGACCCCCTCGGGCCATGAAGAAATCATGGCGGGAGGTTGTTCGCTCTTTTGGGCCTCTGGGGGCCCGTACCGGGCCTCGGGACCGTCAACAAAACGAGCCAGGATGAAAACCAGTCCGGGGGAATGGGTCGAGACCTCCAGGGTCGACGTTATGAACAAATCATAACGTCGGGGGTCTAGGAAATATAAACACAAACACCCTCCGACGAATTTTGCATGTGACTCCCTGCGTATAAAGCCGCTGGCTCCCAGTGGTGATTTATACATCGCCATCCTCCCCTGGGGCCTAGGAACAATCCAGTGGAAGATGTCGGTGTGTATTTTTTGGTGGCGGAGTTTAGCTGGTTTTCACAGCGCCTCCCGGTGCTGCATCGAGGAGAGCGCCCCCCCCGCTGCCCGCAGCAGAAATCGGCCCCCCACCCCCCACCCCTGTCGGCTACACGCGAGAGTGACTATCCACTATCAAGGCGAGGGGGACACTGGGTGCGCGGCTTCACGGAGCACGCGGGGTGGCCAAACCTGTGCGCGAAGGCCACTGCTACCGCTTCGCGTTCAGCGACCGGGGGACCCCATTGGGCCCGCACCAGAGGTCACTCCGGCGAAGGGTCACACTTGCGTGCAGTCGACCCTTTCCCTGCACCCCCCTTCCCCGTTCCTCCGTTCCTGCACGGGCCCCCGACCTCTCGACCACTTCCCCTGGACTGGTTTTCTTCCCATGTCATCGCCGGTCGGAAGAAGTGGGTAGAAACATGAAGTAGGAAGGCGTCGGAAGTAGATTGGGAATCCGCTCGCCCCCTGAGGACGAGGGACGAAGGAAAACCACTCGATCCGTGAAGTAGGGAGGCGCCTAAAGTAGATTGGGATCTGGGCATCCAGAAATGCCTGCTTTCAACGACTGGCGGGTCACTCTTTGACTGTCTGGAGGCCGGGCACAAGGGCCCCCGGAGGCCGACGATAGCGTTAAGCCGGGCGTGTCCCACTACAGGGGGGATTTTCGACGAAAAAAAAAATGCTCCAAAATGGCAAATAAATACTGAACAACTAGTCCCCCGACTATTGTTTGACTATTTCCCTACCTAGGCTCTGCCCAGGAGGGTTCTTAACTCTGTAGCTTAAAGGGGCCGGGCAGTGGAACGCGCCCCGGGCGGTTCCCCCAGTCCCCTGGGAGCCAAGCACAAGCAACAGCAAAGGTAAAAGCAAACGCGCGGTTCCCCCAGTTGCGTTCCCTGGGTGCCAAGCACAAGCAAAAGCAAAGGCAAAAGCGAAGGCAAAAGCGAAGGAAAAACAAAACCATAGCATAGCATAGCATAGCATAGTGCAGCATAGCATAGCGCAGCATAGCATAGCGCAGCATAGCATAGCATAGCATAGCCTAGCCTAGCCTAGCCTAGCCTAGCCTAGCCTAGCCCTGCATAGCAGTTCGCAGCATAGCATAACATAGCATAGCATAGCAGAGCAGAGCATAGCATAGCGCAGCACAGCATCCAACATTGCTGCTGCTGCTATATATATATATATATATATATATATATATATATGTATATATATATATATATATATATATGTAAATCAGAGTACTCCGCCCCCCTCGCCAGGCAAAACTTGTTCTGTGTGGGGACGGATGAGCTCGGCCTCAGACTGGAGCGATCGCAGCAGGCCCACCATCCTCCGAAACGAGAGGCTGGGCGCCCGCCACAACTCACCCCAGAGTCGAACGGGGCAGCGCAAGCGGACAGGGAGGGAGGGAGAGATGACTACAGATGCGCAAACGCGTGACGGCGATCGAGCTCCACAGATGATTCACGTGCGAGCACTCACATCAGCCTACTCCGCCCCCCTCGCCAGGCAAAACTTTTTCTGTGTGAGGGCGGATGAGATCGGCCTCAGACTGGAGCGATCGCAGCAGGCCCACCATCCTCCGAAACGAGAGGCTGGGATTCGCCCGCCACAACTCACAAAACACACGGGCTGGAAGCGCTCTCGATCCAGAAGTACAACTGGCCTATAGGCCGAAGTTATAGAATGCGAGGGCAGGTTTGTTCGCTATGGCATTGGCGAAACACGCACGCAGTGCGTTACAGAGGCGACTTGGACAGGGCTCGGCAATGCGAGTGAGAAACTTGTTGTCTCGTCTTCCGCACAGAATTACATGTGGCTTGTTCGTGCGAGTACAGATTCCCTTACACGAGCGGCACCGGTTTTCGATATTGCTTAAATCTACAAAGAGTGTGAGAAACCTGGTTCGTTTTCGCCAGGGCTTGGACCACTGGCAGAAAACGGTAACAAACTCTCTGGACTCAGACCATTGGCGAATCTTGAGGAAAGGGGGAGCCACCCAAAGGCGAGATGAGTGGGGGTTCTCGCACACGACAGGCACACAAAGTTTTCTGCAAAGCAACAACAAGGAGTGACAGAACTGCATCATTCGATTGCCCTGCTTCACTTTGAGCTGGTCAATCGGGGCAAGATGGGGGAGCCCCATCACATGTTCTGAGCTGCGCAGCGCCGGGGGACCAATGCCGTCCGATCGCCGAGCGGATGACCAGCTGGCGCACAGTACGCCTATCCACACGGCTTCGACTAGGCCCGACATCAACCATCCTCGAATGGTTTTCTGATTACGTGGCTTCAGCAAATCGAAGCGCTCGCCGTGGATGACGCCCCATTCGAAGATGGGAATCCCTTTTAAAAAATCTTGGCGGCGCCACGCTTGCGAGAAGGCGCCACTGCCCGAAAAGAGCTCGAGCGCGACTCCGCGCCGTGCCCGACGGGCACAGGCTGGCAGGTGCCGCAGAGGGTCGCACCAAGCCTCTCGCGACACTGGCGTGCGTGTTCGAGCTGCGGCCCTGAGAGACGGTGCAGCACCTCGCTGATGCGGCCTCCCTTCTCGTAGCGTCTCATGCTGGCTGCGCTGAGTCACCGCCCGCGCTTCTGCGCGTCGGCGATCGGCCGCCTGCCGTTTGCCACCTCGTGGCTCACTCCTCCGCGCCTCAACTGGTACAGGTGCAGCACCCCGAGGGGGGCATACTGAAGGACCTCCACGGCCTTGCTGAAGGAGTTGGCGTACTCTAGGTAGCTCATCGGGAACAGCTTCTTCCCGGACGAGGCCAGGGGGTGGGCCCATGCGCCATTCAGGTCGTCGTACTCCCTGTTGTCCACCA